TAGTTTCAACTTTATAGCTTGCGCGGTTCCCAAAGTCAAATCGTCCTCTGTGCGAAGTAGCCTTGGCATTTCAAAACTAAAACGCCGTCAAGTGACCGATTCCTTCCCTGGATTAAGTTGACGAAATTTATGAAAGCTTCATAGCTTTCAAAAATCCGGAATTCGCATGTGCAGAATATACATACATATACAAGCATGGTAATTCTGCCTTTCTGTATTTCATCAATAATGCAAAAACACGTAAATATCGTAAAAACCGCGCAGTATCCGTTAGTTTGATTGTCTTACACGTTGCTGGATTAACAGACTGATCGTCTGGAAGTAATTCAGAAATCCGAGGGACTAACTTTTACGAAGCGCAATACTGTAGCCCTTAGAACCGAGCACACCGCCAATCTGTGTCAGGTTGCAGTTTTGCTGGATCTCATACTCCAGTGAAATGGATTCCATCATATATGCATAGTTTTCGCTCAACGCTTTCTCCACACCCTCGGCATTGTTGTCCACAAAAACCTCATCGCGTTCTTTCATGTAATTCCACATTTTCACATGGCTACTGATTTGCGATTCCTGAATCCAGTACCTTGTATGAAATCGTTAAAAGTAAGCGCCCATTTGCGGAGCCAGTGGTACCTTCGAGACGATGTGGTAAGCGGAGAGTCTTCATTCCATCACTGCCTATTCCGGACTTTTTATTGCCATAAATACTAAGATCGCCCGGAGAGTCAGTATGGGGATTCAGACGAATGTACGTATTTATAACTTACATCGGGCTGACAACTATTTTTTGAATAGTACTTAGAATTCAGCTTTAATAAGCAATAAGTATAAATGCATCTCTGGTTATTTTGAAAATGGCTTGAACCGTTCATTTTTGGCCAGGTGCACTTTTTTTATCATTAATTGCCTCTCCTCCTTTTTTTTAGAAAGCGACGTCAAAATTAGAACTTTTTTATCACTCACTTTTAAAGCTGACGATATTCAGAAACAGTTTGGATGACAGCGCAGTGTCCAGGTACTGCGCGTTTACAAAACTGCATTTTTTATGCAAAAACATTTTCTTATTATTATTAGTTTTGGCATCTTTCTAGATATCAAAGTGCTAAAATCTTTCTATTTCATATGATTGATATACTGGCAATGTCTTATCATGAAAATTATAATAACTAGTCCTGCTGCATAATCAGTATCGGATGAGAGCCACTGAAAAAGTATTGTCTGATTATCGAACTTTTCCTGAAATGCTTTTTCTGAAACTAGTAAAAAATGCTTTACTTCCCCATCAAAATTTCCCAAAATCATGACCAAGTCATTGTATCCTTAAGCCGATGAACAACAGTAAAGCATCAAAGAACCTGGAAAAATTGCATTGTTGAGCCTCCTCGTCGAGTACCGTAAGAGATCTGAGTTTGATTGGCTAAGTCATCCAGATCCTTGATCGGTATATAAGGCCGTGAAACAGTCAACACAGCAGCTAAGTTGGCTGTGTAAGCAGAGACAATGACCAGTGTGAACATCCACCAGATACCGCCAAGTAGGCGAGTGGATACAGCGCGCGGTCCAAAATCGCATCCGCCTTTTAGCATCGTACTCATCACGTACCCAAATAAAAACGCTCGTGAGTTTTGAATAATTTTATATAAAAGGGTAACCTCAAAAATTTCTTCACTGCTATCGGATGCCTATATAACAGGAAGGGACTGTTGGGGCATATTTACTTGTTGGCCAGGGTAGACGTAGCTGTCAACCCAGTATCAGCCAAAGGGTAGTACGGCGCCAGACTTTAGCTTTTTATGCGTTTTTTGCAGCAATGCAATGTGAAAAATTGGCCAACGCACGGGCTGCCCGTGCGAAGATGCGTTTTTTGCAGAGTTACCCGCAATTT